TCAAGTGAGTTAATGTACAATTTGTCTACAGGACACACTGATGAGCAGTGCTCAAAACACACTCCAGTGTGTTAATGTACAATTTGTCTACAGGACACACTGATGAGCAGTACTCAAAACACACTCCAGTGTGTTAATGTACAATTTGTCTACAGGACACACTGATGAGCAGTGCTCATACACACTCCAGTGTGTTAATGTACAATTGGTCTACAGGACACACTGATGAGCAGTGCTCATACACACTCCAGTGTGTTAATGTATAATTTGTCTACAGGACACACTGGTGAGCAGTGCTCAAAACACCCTAGTGAGTTAATGTACAATTTTTTGGTATAATTCACAAAAGGGGTACCCCTTTTCAATGATGCAAATACATAGTAATTTATTTCAATCCAAGGATCCGCAAAAGATATTGTTCGAAGCATTGTTCAGAAATAAGCAAAATTATCACGTGCGAGACTCGCCTTCCTTCCAGGTAATAAATAGACTGACCCATGTGGTTGACTTTCAGATGTCATGAAATACATATTTTCAAACTAGCAGAAATGGGTTTAAAATGTTGACTACATGTATACCAAACGTGTTTAATTCCATCTTCTGGGTCATATTTACTACAAAAATTTTATTCATCTTTTCCTTTGCGACATTTAAATTACACAATCTTTCAGAAGCACCAAAACCATGTTGTGTGCCAGCATCAACAGTAAGGCGGGCCGAGGGACGCTGAAAGCGAGTAAAAGATTGTACAGCTTTAAAGAAAAATTTTAGACAGGTGTGTTATACTTGAAACAACATCTGCGCTTTTTCTGATTGCTTATCCCGAATGGTTAGCAAGTAATGTAAGTAAGGTGCTCTGATCCATGTGTAAGCGGAGTGTCGATTTCAAATGGTTAAACCTCAGATTGTAAAATGTTGCTTGCCGTTTACGAAGAACGTGAAATATCTTGATTGTGTAAACAAATCCAAAAATTTTAATTCATGAAACATGCCAATTTTTCAGGTAACAGTGAATCGAATTCCAAGAACTTATTTGGCGGAATGATGGGGATACTTACCATACGCTCGTATATACTAGTACACATTTCCTGCAATGAAGAAGCGCCACCATCGACATTATACAGAAATGTACATGTGTTCAGCGCTGCTAATTCCATACCGAAAGCCACGGTGACTAGTATACCGTGCTAAAGACGGAACAGTTCCTATGATAAAAATATGTATTTATTTAAACTACATATTAATTTCTTCCTTTTTTTTTTTATTTTAATTATTAGTTTAGCACTTGACTGTATGTTCTCTTCAAACAGAATGATGTCAATAAAGTATAAAGTATATGATAAGGAGACTGTGCCTAAATGTAAAACTGACCGGAAACTCTGTTTATATGTAGTATAGCACGTGTTCGTAGATAAACAGTCTCGTTGCCGTTACCGTGACAACACGCGTGGACTACACTTTAGTGGTTCATCTAAAGTCAGAACCAGAGAGACGCAGTTTTCATAAACACGTGCAAAATGGGAACAACATCCGAGGACAACACATAATGACGTATTTGTACACGTCATTCTGATCCTTGGTCCGATCCATTATGGCTAGTAGTAATAATCTTATTGTCCGAATACAAATTTCTCTTATGATGCAATCTTACTCAAATAGCCATTGATGTAACTACGTAGAATACTATTATTCATTTCAGGACACGACTTATAATTAGATACAATGTATATTGTATATTTATAGTGTATGTAACACGCATGCACTTCATGAACAAATAAAAAACGCTCGTTTGACTCGCTATATTCGAGAGACACGCAATATTCTCTTACTTTGGCAATTAATCAAAGGCACGGGGACTTTTATGCCAAATAATGCAGTTATATAAAGGGCGGTAGTCGTCACGCTGCGCATGTGCGACATTTGTGTTGTACATTGATTTTCCTACAATCCAATGCGCTCTTCTAATGAAATCACATGAGGTTCGCAACTAGCACTAATTGCCGCTCGTGACTCCTTCATACCTTCTAAACACTTAATAAACTACCTAATTAAAGCTGGGCAACATCTCAGTTTGAACTCGTTGATCTGTCAAAGTCGCCATCTTCAGTTTGTCTATACGAGACCCATATATATCGCGCATGCGTGGAGCGACGACTACCGCTCTTCAACCAAAGTTGAGTTTGTGAAGAAATAAAAATAGTTACTAGTACTAGACAACTATTACGTATACATCACCAGAAGAACACCGGCTGAGTCGTGTAAATGATATTTGGCCGTACAGTTGCAATTAGTTGATTAACATAAAACAAAGTAACAGTACATGTAGTGCCCCCCCCCCCAAAAAAAAACGCACAACTCGTATTAACTATTCGTAAAGACATTTTTGTCTGTGTGTAGTCTTTATTTTCATTTAATTTGACAAGTTAAAAAATACGAATTCTATCAAAATGCAATAAATAAAATAATTCAAAATATTTACTTTAGATAGCCACCAGGAAAGACACTTATATATTTATCATCCTCACGAAAATTCTGAAAGCATAAAAAAGTAGTTTTCTTTTCTGGTGCGCAATGTAAATACAAGTATTAGGAGGCTTATCAATTAAATACAAATATTGAATTGAAGTTTTAAAATTATACTAAAATTGGCCAACTTTGTAAAACGATTACCCAGAAATTACCAACTTTATATTTCGTCTGCTGTCATGAATTATGCAAAGTCACCTGACGTGCTGCAAAATTCAAAATGGCGGACGGATCTATTAGAAAAACAAAATACTACCGGTAAAACACTTGTTAGTACTTGTATATTGTATTTACAATTACAAATTTATCATGAATATAATATGAATATGTATGAAGAGTGTAGTCGTTACCATGGTAATTCCAATTGCTTGAAATTGTCTCACAAATGAACATGTCATTAAACAGTACATGTACTAAGAATTGAGCGCCTTCTAGTTATAACAATGCTTGTAATTGTGATTGAAATCTAGTGATTGTGCTTTGGCCATTCCAGCTAATACTTTCACGTTGAGCCTGACAATTCAGACGTATATAGTGCCATCTATCGACTGCCCCAAGCAAGATGCCGCAATTTTCTTAAAACAATTCAAATACAGAGATTGGTGTCACGTTGGCACCACATTACTGGCCACCGGAAGTGCATTAAATACGTTAATATGACGTAGACGCGCACTGTACTGAACATTTTTCAGTCGTCTTGAAAATTGTCCTTAGCTTTCGAAACAACAAAATGATGGCTATTACAGTAGTTATATTCTTCAATAAAAGTGTAGTTAAAATTAAAGACTTGCGCAAAGACATAAATATACAATGTTGATAATAAAGATAGAAACTCTGGAAGACGGGACAGCATCGATGTGTCAAACGCAAAACTTAATTACTGTATATCGAAATATTAATCTCAATTAGTCGACAATTGTCATTTTTCGTCAAGGTTCCATCGCGGAAATAAAAACCATTTCCCGTTCACTGCGAGATCCCGCGTTATGCGTGAAATCGAACGTAAATCAGGACAAACAAAGGTCATAGTGTCGTAGTGGCGACAAACATCGCGTGATATTCGACACACACCGTAGTATTTTGGGATATATTTCCATGCTTAACAATGTGCTTCGTTGAAGTAAGGGTATTCAAACGCAATATTCTCGTGTTAATAATCGGCCTTTCGATGTCAGCTACAAAATAAAGAAGTTCAAGTTCAAAATCAAATCGTTCGATTTTTGCGGTAGACGGTTCGGTGCGCGTCTTTCACGCAATTCGCGAGATCTCGCAGTTGGACGGAAAATCACCTATTCAGTGGGCTACGAACGTCATTATTCGGAATTGTGAGGACGCGCGGCCTAGTATTCCAAATCGATCTTGAATACCAACACACTTTTTCTGTAAGTCACGCCTTTTGGTGACGAATCGTTTCTAAACAGATGGCGCAAATGACGTTAGGATCGTAGATTTCGTTCTAATCCACCAATTAAGATTATGATTTCTGAGAGATTTTACTAATATATTCTGGATGACAAACGTCTACACCAAACCAAACACAGTGAAAATGCATAGGTGGGAGGTAGAATATGCAGTTTGAAAAACAATCAATATACACTACTTCGGTTTAGGGTTCACGACTTCGATCGATAATTAATCATAAATTATCAGTGTATTGATACAGCATATCATCACACTTAGTTTTGTCACAGACGCAAAGACTGCCTTTTTTTAAGATCGTGGTGGAAATGCGTTACCGACAACGTTTTTCTGTAATTCGGTTCATCGGGTCCATAAGTGACCTGACCCGAGACAGTTACAAAACATAACGAGCGCAGTGAAATGGTTGCTATAGTAGTATATATTATGGGCGATCGATTCAATTGAAGTTCCCCTATAACGAGACATTCCAGTGGAGGTACATTAAAAAAACAAATTATGTTTTTAGCTTGGCGTTTGAGACGAGTTGACACTGAGAATATTATTACATCCTCTTACTGTATCATTGTCATCTGGATAAAATTTAACATTCTAATAATTTCAGATTTAGTAATCTACAAAAGCAGAGGTTTGATCGTTTGAAAACTGACGACTGGTTTGAGAATACTTACTTCGTTAATAATGGAGTCTCCACTCTTAATGTGTACCTGTAACGGTTAGTAATCTCAAATATATAACACAGTATTAGTCTTTAGAAAGATTGCTACTCAATATGCCACCATTGCATGGCGTGTTTTCAATGAAACTAATCAAGTGATAATCTAGAGTGTACGAGACATTCCACTCGCTATGATACGCCATCCCACTCACTACATTGATAGCAATGTCTCATTGAAGTCAGCTGCTGCCAGTTGGTTTGATAGGTTGAAAGCAAATGCCGTCGACGTAAACAGTAAAGATCGCGTGATTGTGGATGAATTCCCAGCATGCAGTATTTAAACTGGCAAATGTATATAGAGTATTGTGATTTCTGAGACTATTATGACAACCAATAATGTGTAACGTTTGCATAAATGTGATTGAGCAATGAGATATTACATTGTATTTATGCATATAGTGAACGGAGTCATAGACGCCTGTGACATCCCCATAGTGTGTGATGTTTGCATAAATCTAAAAAGGTAATGAGATATCACTAGCACAGTGCCTAGGCATATAGTGAGTGGAATGTCACATAGGTGTTTATGACATCCCATAGTGTGTGATGTTTGCATAAATCTGAATAGGTAATGAGATATTACTAGCACAGTACCTAGGCATATAGTGAGTGGAATGTCACATAGATGTTTATGACATCCCATAGTGTGTGATGTTTGCATAAATCTGAATAGGTAATGAGATATTACTAGCATAGTACCTAGGCATATAGTGAATGGAATGTCACATAGATGTCTATGGCATCCCCATAGTGCGTGATGTTTGCATAAATCTGAATGGGTAATGAGATATTACTAGCATAGTACCTAGG